TTAACGGGAGGTAGATGATTATTGTCTTTTACTTCAGTAGCTTGACTTAGTCTCAATTAATCATAGTAAGGTGGATGCACTGATCTGGGCAGTCAGAAGCTGTTATAATATGCTGATTAAGAAGTTAAGTCACAGGGTTAACAATTGGCCTTGGAAGATGATTTGGAAGACAAAAGCTCCGGTCAAGTTGGCATGCTTTGGTTGGATAGCAACTTGGGAAGCATGTTTGACACAAGATAATTTGCAAAACAGGGGGTTTAATCTAAGTAATAGATGCTATATGTGTGAAGAGATCAAGAATCAGCGAATCATATTCTTCTCCATTGTAGAATTGCTAGACAGTGCTGAGATTTATTCTTAAACATTTGTGGTATCTCTCAGGTAATGCCACAGACTCTGTTGGAAGAGGGCAAAATTAGAGAGTACCTAGAAGACTCGAGCAAATATGGAAAAGCATTCCTCTGTGCATATTCTTGACTTTATGGCCGTAAAGGAACCCTGCTTGTTTTGAAGGACACAAGGATCGCATTTTAGAATTAGAAAAAAATATATTCACAAGTTGTTTTATTGGTGTAAAAGCAGTGTACCAATGGAACAACAACAATTTATTGATTTTCTGGATTTACTAGGAGGCTAGCAGGAGATGGTTGTTTTTGAAGGTGCTCTTTGTCACTTTTTGTACCATCTTGGTACCTTATTAATGAAACTTTTACCAGTTGATTAGTATGATTCAAGGAGATTTGATTTGATTTGATACCTGGACTAATTGTATATATTTATTTTATTTCCTTAATTAACATTAGGAGCTTTGTATAAATTTTCTTGCTCATGGGATGTAAACACACACAAAAATACAAGAAGCCCTTTCTTTTCTTCTCAAAATCTACATGGCATCAGAGCAGGCTCAGATCTTGGGTTCGAGTCTCACCGCCACCCAATATCAAAAAGAATTTTCACGTGCTTGACTCATCAAAAAGAATCAAGTCCGCACGTGCAGGGGCATGTTGACAACATAATTAAGTAAATAACAATGTGTTCTCTCTAACAGCTTAAGCTTTTAGATGAGATGGTTACACATTTCAATTTGGTATCAGAGTCATTGCCCCCTTTTTGAGGTGAGTGATCTCCCTCGCATCACTAGGGTTTCGTTTTTATCAAAGAGGTCGAGTTTTCTCTCTCTTGGTGGCCGTTCGCAATACAAACTTCTTCTAGTTCCGTCGAGCTGGATTTGGTTTCCGGCGAGACAGATTATTTTTTAGCAATTTTATTTAGATTTCCTTTTGATTGGGCAGAAAATATGGAGACATTCAAGGAGGCGGTTTATGGAGAAATCTTGTCTTTGGATGAAATTCAGCTTCTCCATCGTCTCCTAGCCAAACTTGACTCCGTTAATGTTGCCATATCCAATTATGTGCAATCAGGTACTGTCTTTGCTTCTTACCTTAATTCTTGGATTGTTGATTCTGGTGCAATAGACACATGATAGGCTCTTCTAAAGGCATTCAAAACTATTCTCTATGTCTCAAAGGAGGTAATGTTAAAATAGCCAATGGTTCTTTAACACCTATCTCTGGAACAAGTTCTGTTGTTTGTACTCCTAATATTAAACTATCATCCGTGCTTCATGTCCCTGGGTTCCCTGTCAATCTTTTATCTGATAGTGCCATCACCAAAGCTCTAAACTGTAAATTCGAGTTCTTTTCCGATCATTGTATTTTTGAGGATCTTCAAACAGGAAAAAAGATTGGCAGTGGTATTATATATTAGATGGAATTCAAAATTCTGGTCAAGCCTTTTTTTGGGGAAAGTAAGGATGTCAACAAAGAAATAATACAACAGCATAGACGGTTAGGAAAACCATCATTCTTTGTTTTGAAGAAGTTATATCCCGATTTGTTTTCAAGGACTCGATTTGAATCTTTGTTCTGTGATGCGTGTGATATGCCAAGCATACTAAAAACTCTTATCCTATGAGTGATAATAGAAGCACAACTCCGTTTATGACTATTCATTACTGCACTAGGATGACTTTGGTATATTTGTTAAAGGACAAAAGTTAAGTTTTCTCTTGTTTTCAGTCATTTCATAAGATGATTTGTACTCAATTTGATGCGAAAATAAAAATCTTGAGAACTGACAACTACATCGAATACGTGGATAAAAGATTTGGTTCTTATTTGGAGTCCAATGGGATAGTCTGTCAGACTAGTTGTCCTTACACTAGTGCACAAAATGAGGTCGCTGAAAGAAAAAATAGGCATATGTTAGAAGTAGCAAGGTCTCTTATGTTCACCGTGCATCTACCAAAACCTTACTGGGGGATGCTATTCTAGCGGCTGCCTATCATATCAACATAATGCCACTTATAAACTCCTCAAGTTTCAAAGTCCTCTGGAAGCTTTAAAGGATAAGAATGAATATACTGTTCTTCCAAAGGTGTTTGAGTGTGCGTGCTTTGTCCACACTATTTTGGAAAACTTGATCCTAGAGCTATAAAGTATATTTTCATTGGGTATTCCTCGACACTGAAATGTTACAAATGTTATCATCCTCCCTCTAGGAGATCTTTTGTTATCATGGATGTTACTTTTCGAGAATCTAATCCCTATTTCAGTATTACCTCATCACCTCTTTCGAGGGATAGCGGTAAGGAGGAAGAAGTGATTCTACCTAGTTCCGTTACTTGACCTCTTGATGACGTTGTCACAGGGAAAAGTGAAATTGGAGAAAGAATTCAGGGGGAGACTATTGAGCGTTTGGATAGGCCTGATTTGAAAACTTACTCAAGGAGAAATAGAGCAGAGGAAACCATCATGCAATCTACCGAAATTGAACTTTCTTCTACTAGTGAGTTATGTACATTTTCTAATGAGTTAGATGTGCCTATTGCTCACAAAAAAGGAGTCAGATTTTGCACCACCAAGTACCCTTTATCTAATTTTGTCTCCTATAATTCTGTCTCCCTCCTATAGAGTTTTTGCATTGTCTATTTCTTCTGTGTCTATTTCCCAGAATTGGAGGGAAGCTTTTGCAGATCCTACGTGGAAGCAAGCTATGATTGAAGAAATGAAGGCCTTGTCAAAAAATGAGACTTGGGAACTTGTCACTTCACCACAAGACAAGAAGTTGGATGGCTGCAAATGGGTCTTCATTGTGAAGCACAAAGCTGATGGCTCAATTGAAAGATTCAAAGCAAGATTTGTGGCTGAAGGATTCACTCAGACTTATGGAGTGGATTATCAAGAGACATTTGCCTCTGTTGCTTAGATGAACACTATTAGAATTCTTTTATCTTGTGCAGTTTATCTTGATTGGAATTTGCAACAGTTTGATGTGAAGAATGCATTTCTTCATGGAGACTTAGAAGAAGAGGTGTATATGAAGATTTCTCCTGGATTTGATACTGCACAGAATCAAGGAAAGATATGCAGATTGAAGAAAAGCCTTGTATGGACTGAAGCAATTCCCCAGAGCTTTGTTTGGTAGATTCAGCAAAGTAGTGTTCTCTGGGTTACCAACAAAGCAATGCCGATCACTCCCTTTTCATAAGACATCAAACGGGTAAACTCACTCTTGTCATAGTTTATGTTGATGACATAGTAATAACATGAGATGACAAAGAGGAGATGACCCGATTGAAGAAGTTGTTGGCACATGAATTTGAGATCAAGGATCTAGGAAAATTGCAATACTTCTTGAGAATTGAGGTTGCTAGATCCAAAAGAGGAATCTTTATCTCTCAAAGGAAGTATATTCTGTATCTCTTGAAAGAAGATGGTATGACAGTTGTTGACCCGCATAATCGCCCACCAAAAGCAATCACAAGTTACAAAGCGGAGTTGGAGAGTCGGTTGATTAGGAGAGATATCAGAGGTTGGTTGGAAGACTCATTTATTTCTCCCACACTAGGCCGGACATGTCCTATTTAGTCAGCCTGGTGAGTCAGTTCATGCATGATCCCCAAGATCCTCATATGCAATCCGTCTTTCACATTTTGCGGTATTTGAAGTCAGCTCCAGGGAAAGGTCTACTTTTCTCCGAACATGATCACCTCCAAATAGAAGCCTTTATGGACGCAAATTGGGCTGGATCTCTAGATGACAGAAGATCTACATCGGGTTATTGTACATTCGTGGGTGGAAACGTGGTTACTTGGAGAAGCAAGAAGCAAAGTGTAGTTGCTAGATCAAGTGCGAAGGCAGAATATAGAGCTATGGCCCAGGGTGTTTGCGAACTGCTTTGGCTACAAAAGCTACTAGAGGAAAATTGAGACTTTCTGAAAAAGGAAAACTTTACTTGTACTGTGACAATAAGGCTGCCATCAGTATAGCTCATAATCCAGTCCAACATGACTGAACAAAGCATGTGGAAATTGATCGATACTCATCAAAGAAAAAGTTACAACTGGTGTTTTGAGTTTGTTTCATGTGCCATCTGAAAAACAACTAGCTGATGTGTTTACCAAAGGTCTCAACAAGCGAGCTTTTCATAGTTTGAGTTGCAAGTTGGGCATGTGTGATATTTTTGCACCAGCTTGAGGGGTAGTGTTGATTGAATCAAGGAGATTTGATTATATTTAGGAGATTTGATTTGATTTGATAGCTGGATTGATGGTATAGATTTATTTTATTTCCTTAATTAGCATTAGGAGTTTTATATAAATTCCCTTGCTGATGGGATGTAAACACACACAGAAATATAAGAAGCCTTTTTTTCTTCTCAAAATCTACATTACCTTATCAAAAAGAACTAAAGAAGTCAAGAGACCATTTTTCAGTTTGTCATGAAAAGATATAAGAGAAAATTGGAAGCACAAAGGATTTGAATACGATTGGAAGCAAAGATGATATGGCATACCAATTTTGTCTGCTGCAGACATTGTAAGCGGCAGTTTTTCCTATTGCCTCCACATTATGACATCAACTCCACATAATTCTAGAGCACTATTAAAGACTGTAAACATACTAATTTGCTCGTCTCAAGTTCTTAATTTGTTTTAGTATGCAGCAGCTAGGGCATGGACTAAATGGGAAATGATGACTGCTCACCTTCTCCCAGATGAAGAGAACATAAAGAGAGGAGATGTTGATGATTTCTCCTTGGTGAGTACGTTTATGAAGTGTGTTCGGTATTCCGTTGACCTTCCCGTTAAAGCATTTTTCTTTTGCATCTATATTCTTGAACTCTTTCTACTCTTAACTTTGAAATTATGATATTCTAGAATTATGATATTCTAGAATATGCAATGTGAACAATTATTTTCAATCACAGAGATTTTTATCATTCTTTATTATAATATCAATATATCATGTGTTGTTCAGGCATTTGCAAGGATTGAGAACCACTACTTTACCAATAAGGGCTTCTTTTCTTCGGATTCTTTCCTTCTAGATAATGTTGAAAAGATAAAGCATATAAAGACAACAATTGTTCAGGTAAATTCTGCTTTCATTTCTACCTTCTGCTTTGCATTGCTTTCTCATAGTTCAAAACTCCCCTGTTATGTGAAGGCCAATCTGGAAACACAAAACATCCCGACGATGTACTTTCTTTCCATATTTGGATGAGATTTTCCATGGAAAGAATGATATTGGGAAAGAAATGTGAATTAAGGACATACATACAGGACGTAGTGGTAGCCGGTAGGGGATCAATGGCTGCCAATGTTGTTAATTCTGGTTGTTGGTGACTGCCTTGTTGAATGGGACACAGGGGTGTTTACTTTTCTCCCAGTGATGCTTTTGGATACTTTTGAGACCTGAATTTTCCAAATAAATTTTGAAGGAAATTTCTTGGTCTGGTGTCTTTACTTTTGCATTCATGGCTTCATGTGCTCCGAAATAATTGTGCTATTATGGTTCCATGGGAGTGTTCATAACCGAGGAGACACCATATATCAACAATCAATTTTGCATCCATTCTTAACCCACTCGATTCCTTGGCATGCCTTTACTGGCAATTAGAATTTTTGGTCTCCGCTACCATCATAAATACTCAAGTGTTTATCCACTGTCTTTTTCTTTTTAGTGGTTGCCCATTTGTTGATTTCCTGTGCAATTGTTGCTTTGGCAGTGGCCACAATTCAAGCAAACTCCTAAGAGGGCTTATCGAATTTTATGGCCCTACAGGATCCTGCTGGGTTACCTGCATGAAAAAATCCTTTTTCCAGGACTATGTGCTGCAAAAAAAAAAAAAAAAGAAAAAAAAAGAGATATTCCTGTACTTCATATCATAAGTCTGTTTCTTGACTGTTGAACACCTATAAAGATCTCATACTTGAAAGCTGCAACACAATTAGCTTGAGGTATATTATGCTGCTCTCTATTAACTGACTGCCATCTCCAAGTGGGTATAATAGCTCTATGAATATATCTGTGAGGTGTTTTAACTGGACTCTTTCTATTACTCTCACAGTTAGAATTGTTGTGGATGATTAACAACTTGCAGCTCCTTGAGTGACCACTTTTTCTGCTACCTGCTATTGAGTATCACAGCCTAAGCGATTCAATTAATATAGTGGCTGCAGTTGTCCCAATGAGATCCGGAGCTAGCCCCTGTAATTGTCGGATACACCTAAAGTACCATTATGACTTCCATCCACCAGCATTAACTTTATTCCTTAAGAATGAGTGTTTCGAACCACAAAATCACCACCTTAAATTTGGTCATTAGTCATCCGTCTAATGCATGAAGACTTAGTTACTGAAATCTGCTATTGCTTGCTACTGAACATTATTGCTGTGATTGCAAAATATGATTGGTTCCTGCATTGATTGGGGGAAAGGGGGATGGGATGGGAGTTTATGTATTTGTAATGAGGATCAGGATGGTGAGTAGCTCTGTGATATGAAGACAATGCCAACAGCGGCAAGAAGTACAAGATTATGATAGAAATGAGATTGCTGGATAAAATATTGGATGAGGTTTTTCTTTCAACAGATTTCTGGAGTTTAGTTATGCGATTTTATATGTATTACGATATTTCTTTGAAAGTATATTTTCCATTGCCATATTTTTTCTATAACTTGCCAATACAGTTTAAATAATGATACGAGTAAAGAGCTGGCCGAGTTTCGAATGTATGTTGCCAAAATGGGAGTGCATTAATTTTCCATAGTGCTTCTTGATGTAATCATGTGAGTTTACCTAAAACATCCACTTAGTGTAGTTGACAACTGTATGGTCCACCAGATATTGGCTTAAATTAATCATTGAACATGCATATTTAAGCTGTCAGTGTCACTATGTTTGACTGTTTTCTTGTCATTATGTATTGTCAATCTAAGATGTATATATGTGTCCCTTTAAAACCCTACACTAAACTTGAATCTTATATATTCTGCATGCATCTGAGGTGAATTGAATTCCTGGACAATCTGAAGGCAAGAAATATTTTCTAAATGCACTTTCAGGGAAGATACGATGTTTGCTGTCCAATGATGTCAGCATGGGATCTTCATAAAGCTTGGCCAGAGGCAGAGTTCATAGTAAGTAATATGTGATTTGTTAAGTTAAGTAGTTGCGGAAATTCAACATATGTGAAGGGGGTTATGAATCACATCTTACATCTTCTCAAGTTGATCAAACCTAAGCTGGTCCATCTGTTTCTCAATTTGCCTCTTTTTGGGCTATTACCCCTTGAATGATAGTTTGTTTTCGTACTTGAATGTTTTGTATGAAAGTACATTTGTCTAGATATTCTTTAGGGAATTTATCCGAGTGCTCATATTTAGTCTTATAGACTTGAAATATATATTTAGATGCATAGTTTCCGGTGCAATATCTTAAAGTTGCACCCTTGGGCGTCTGACTTAAATAAAAGAGGGCCTTCCACCATTTGATATGGAGAGAGGAGGACAAAGAAATGCCTACAACTAATCTGGAGGGAAGAGTAGTTCTTTTAAAAAAAATATTTTTTGTTTTTCTTAAAGAGGAACTGGAGGGAAGAGATCTTGAGACGAGAAAAACCAAAGGTAGTGTTAAACTGGCGATTGGGACCAGAAATAGCGAAGGGACCCCCCTAGTACAAACATGGTAGATTTACCAATAGTCATTGATTTGAGATTTCTATGAAGAGTTGGGATGTGGTTGAGACCAAATAAATATTAATTTCATATTTAAAAAAAACCTCGAATCTGATGTGTATTTGGGTGTGGGAAATGAAAACTCACTAAAATCAAGATATGTAATGAGCTGATGCAGTGGTTTGAATCCTCCAACCCCTGGGAACTTGGATGACTTAGTCAGCACGATATTTACCTAGGAAAAGTAATAGCTGAAGAAACAAGGCTGCCTTTGCCCAGGAAATATAATAGCCGAAGAAACAAGGCCTTCTTTACCACATGAAAACTAAATTGAAAAAAAGGAAGAAGTTTTGTACTCTTCGCAAATGAGCTAATGTTTTACTTAAATTTGTGTACATGCTCTTTTTTTNCGATTGTTGATCTATGTAGACTTCTAAGTTATTGGTAACTGACAGTTTCTCTGTGTAATTATAGGTCGTCCCGGATGCAGGTCATTCTGCAAATGAACCAGGAATTGCAGCAGAACTTGTTGCAGCTAATGAAAAATTGAAAAACATCCTTAAAGGTGTTTGTTGAGTTCGAAGTGCCGCAAATAATTGAGAATTTACAGATCTTTGCTCCATTGAAGCATTGGATATTGGCATCTGATGTTTGTGGGAGGATGAATAATGGTCTGTGTGTTTAATGTTTTAGATCCTTGTATTCCAATATTCTAGCTTTACGTTTCTTAGGAGCACCTCACTGTGTGGATGAAAGCAATGCCATGAGTTTTCTCCCTTTTTATGTACGGCTATGGCACGAGGCTAATTGGAAGAAGTTATTTGTGATCTACACGTATGAATTGTAGGTGCAACTAAAGTCTTGCACCAGAGGATGTTATGATTTATTTGTATTAGGATTACATTTCCTTGTAATTTTCATTTCGCACTTGAAATTGCAGCAGTCACAACTGAAGTTAGTTTGAGTAGTTAGACGCAGGCACGTGAGGGGCACATGGCTTCCCAAAGTTAGTTATAACTAAATTTCCCTCCCCAGATTCCCTCGTCTATATCAGTTAGAATTGTCCTTAATTGTACACGTGATTTTTACTTTTGTTATCAATAATATCTCTCTATCTATCTCAATTCTTTCCTAGTTATTCGAGTGATTGTTCAAGAGAAATTCTTCCAAATTTGTTCTTTAGATCTCTCGATTCAATCTTTGATTTTGGAGATTGTATGATTGGTATCACAGCTTTCCTTTCCTTGGATTTGTGAATGGAATTGGGTGAGCACAATACACAAATTCAGGAATTACGAAGGGATCTCTATGGACTTCGTGGGTCCTTTGATGGCATCAGTGATGAGTTGAGGAACACTGTTGATGAGAAATTGGCAGCGTTTATGGAGGAATTCAAGAGTATCTTAGTGACAATTGTTGGTAATTAGAGACCAACAGACGAAGTTGTTCCTAATCGACCTAGGGCAAGAGGAGTTGAAGATGAAGCTGCTCCTGAAGTTGCTAGGGCTCGAAGGGATGATGGAAATTAGCTGCCTATCAGAGGGCATCGACTGCTATTTCCTAGGTTTGATGGAGTAGGCTTGCGTGATTGGCTGTATCAATGTGAGCAGTACTTTGGAGTAACTGAAACTTCAACATCCTCAAAGAGTGAAGATGGCTTCTTGTCGGCTTGAAGGTGAGGCTCTTCAATGGCATCAAGCTTATATGAAGACTAGAATTACTAGAGAATGGCTAGTTGGGGGGAATATGTGTAGTCTATATTCTAGGTTTGAATATGAACTTTTTGATGATCCAATGGGGGACTTGAAGGTTTTGAAACAAACCTCCAGTGTGCAAGATTACATAGATGTGTTTGATGAATTGCTAACTCAAGTAGAGTTGAGTGAGGAGTATATTGTTAGCTATTTCTTAATGGGTCTTAAATAGGAAATTGGACTATCAGTGAAAATGTTTATTCCAGATCCTTACAAAAAGCCAGTAGCCTTGCGAAAATCCAGGAATAAATATTACTTCTCCAAAAAGATACTCTGAGAACGACCCCAATTCTTTCATAACCCAGAGCTGTCCAAAAATTCCTAAATAATCCTCATAACAGTAACCAAACTTACCTACTCTATCCTAAGCCCAACCAAAACCATATATAAAAATCCCAAATTCCTGAGTCCTGCAGTGATGTAGGAAAAGAGAGCTAATGGCCTTTGCTTCCATTGTGATGAGAAGTACACACCTAGACATGTGTGCTCTAAGAGCAAGCAATTATTTTTCGTTAAGGTAGAGGAACAATAGAGGAAGCGAGGGATGGGGAAGTAGACATAAGGTTTAACCCTTTTGACATCTTGTGTTTGGAAGGAATAAAAGGCCATATGGATTTTAATGGAGCTGACTTGGCTTATGTATCAGTGCTTGCCATCACTGGTATGTACAATTTTAGGACAGTGTTCAAAACTATGAGGGTCACAGAGTCTGTGAAGGGCAAAACTGTTAAGATTCCTATTGACACAGGCAACACACAATTTTATAGACCTTGAGGTAGCTAAGAGGATGAGATGTTACTTGACTCAAATACAACCTTTCTCTGTATCAGTAGCAGATAGTAACAAGATGTACAGTGGGTCCATGTACAAAGGTTTTGAGTGGAGGATGCAAGGAGTATAATTCATATCTGACATGTTAACACTCCCCTTGGGAGGGTGTAACATGGTCCTAGGAATACAATGACTTACTACTCTAGGGAATATCCTTTGGAACTTCTAGAAATTGAGAATGGAGTTCAAACATAAAGGCCACAAGGTGTCCTTGAGAGGTATCCAACCACTAGCTTTGAAATTAGTAGAGCAAAGGCAAGATACATAAGCTCTTGGCTAAGCCTGCTGAACTGTCCATGATGTCTATCTATATGTTCATAGTAGATCCTAATTCTGAGCCTTGCTTATGGGGTTTAGAATAGGGCTGTGCATGGATCGGATCGGATTTAGCATATTTCGGATTGAAATTTTGGATTTTGGATTCTGCAAAATGCAATTCGAATTCGATCCGAATTAATATCAGATCGGATCGGTTAATATTTTGAATTTTCGGATCGGATTGTACGTATTATTAAGAACTTTTTCTTTTATCCTTTTTTGCATTTTCAAGCAAATTAATATTTATATTTTCCTTCTCAAAAGAATTTAAAATGAGGAGAGGAATGCTAAACTCAGAATCTGTGGGCTAGAAGTAGGGCACCAATGTATTGTGCACTTATATATAACTTCCAGCATCAAAGATGATGATATTCAGAAATCATCTCCAAGCCGCCAAGAAAATAAATTATAAATCAAGAGATAGTCAAAAGTCGGAACACAGAGAAAAGACAGAGGAAGCAAGCAGCAGTCTCGGTCACTCGGAGTTGTAACACAGAGAAGTGTAGAAGACTAAAGAGAAGAGAAAATGAAATAGACATAACCCTAAAATTAAAGTTGGTATTTATACTTGCCCTAATAATTTTGGATTTCGGATCAGATCAGGTTAAAATTATACCAATCCGAATTCGATCCGAATATCTAAAATTTTAATAAACTAAATCCAAATTCGATCCAAATATCCGAAATCCGAAATTGAGCGGATCGGTTCGGATTTTGGATAACCGATCCAAATGCCAGCTCTAGTTCAGAAGGACACTGCTCTGTGGAGGAAGACAAAATAAAGTTACAGGAGGTACTAGAGGAGTACAATGATTTGTTTGAGATTCCCAAAGGTTTGCTTCCACACAGGGATCATGACCACATAATAGTATTGAAGGAGGGGACATCTCATATCAATATTAGGCAATATAGGTATCCTAATATTCAAAAGGAAGAAATTGAGAAGATGGTTGATAAAATGATGACTACAGGTATAATAAGGGATAGTACCAATCCTTATTCTTCACCAATTGTCATGGTGAAAAAGAAGGATGGGAGCTAGAGTATGTGTGTGGATTACAGGGAACTTAATAGCCATACTATTAAGGATAAATTCCTCATTCCAGTTATTGAAGAGTTACTTGATGAGCTACATGGTGCTAAGTTCTTTTTTATGTTGGATCTTAGGTCAGGGTATGACATTCCTAAAACTGCTTTCAGAACTCATCATGGTCATTTTGATTTCTTAGGCATGCCATTTGGGCTTACCAATTCCCGATCTACTTTTTAGAGTTTAATGAACAAAGTCTTTCAGCCCTACCACATGAAATTCATTCTTGTATTCTTTGATGATATTTTAATTTACTGTACCTCTTGGCAAAATCCAACACACTATTTGTTAAGAAAAGCAAGTATGCATTTGGTGAAATTCAAATTGACTATTTATGTCACTTGATCTCTTAGTTGGTGTTGCTATGGATCCAGACAAGGTGAGTGCAGTGCTCCCTTGGCCTATGCCAGGCTTCCTTGACGCATGAAAGGATATGGTACCATTGCTAGGCCATTTACCTATCTAATAAAAAAGGGGAATTTTATTTGGGATGAGGTTGCTACCCAAGCTATTGAGGAGCTGAAGAAACTTATTACTTCAACACCTATTTTGGCACTACCAGACTACACAAAAGAATTTATAGTTAAAACTGATGCTTCAGCAGATGATATAGGAGCAATATTGACACAAGAGGGAAGGCCTATAGCTTTTCACAGCAAGGGGTTATCTTCTAAGAATAAAGCTCTATCTGTCTATGAGAGAGAGCTACTGGCTTTGGTGAGCTCAGTGCAGAAATGGAGACCCTACTTGTTAGGAAGACACTTTACTATCAAGACTGATCATCACAGTCTTAAATACCTATTAGAGAAGAGAATCACCACCCCAAGTCAGCAAAAATGGTTGGTCAAATTACTTGGATATGACTATACCATATCTTACAAGAAAGGCAAGGAGAATACTGTTGCTGATGCTCTTTCTAGAAGAGAGGATTCAGTCGAGTTATATAGCATCTTTGGGTCCCAGGTAGATCTGTTGGATGAGGTCAAAAATTCTTGGGAGGTGGATCCTACATTAAAAACTCTCATTGCTAAGTTGCAGTCTGGTTCACTTGTTAAACGCTCACTACAAGTGGCAAAGTGGCATTTTGAGCAGGAAGGGCAAAATAATGGTAGGTGCTGATGAACAACTGAGAAAGAAACTAGTAGCTTCCTATCATAACATTTCTATTGGTGGTCCTTCAGGCATTTCAGCCACCTTGCATAGGCTGAAGAAAGATTTCTATTAGAAGAAGATGAAGCAGACTGTTTATGCTTTCATCAAGGAATATGACACCTGTCAGAGGTGCAAGCATGAGAATGTGGCTTACCCAGGCCTGCTGCAACCTCTCCCCATTCCATCAAAAGTATGGCAGGACATCTCTATGGATTTCATTGAAGGTCTACCGAAAGCTAGAGGCAATAATGTAATTTATGTGGTTGTGGATAGGTTAAGTAAGCCTTTACATTTCATTCCTTTAAAGTACCCACACGCAACCTTAGAAGTGGCTCAAGCTTTTATGGACAACATCTTTAAATTACATGGCATGCCCAAGTCCATAGTATCAGATATGGATTTGGTTTTTACATCTAAGTTTTGGATGGACCTGTTCAAGTTACATAAGGTTGACCTACTCATTTCTACTGCCTATCACCCCCAAACAGATGGTCAAACAGAAGTGATCAACAAATGTTTGAAGTATTATCTCAGGTGCATTGCATTTGACAAACTAAAAGAGTGGCCCAATGGTTATCACTAGTTGAATGGTGGTACAATACCTCCTATCATTTTACCACAAAAATGACTCTTTATGAGATTGTGTATGGCCAGCCACCTCCACCTCTACTTCCCCACATACCTTTCGACTCTTAGTTAGAAACTGTTGATAGAAGCCTGCAACCAAGGGAGGCTACTTTGAGAACTGTGAAGGCTTACCTGCTCAGAGCTCAATATAGAATGAAAGTTCATGCAGATAAA